CCTCGCCGCGCCCGCCCGCACTGCCCTTCAGAGTCTAGGGTGAACTTGGACGACTTATCTACATCTTTCCAATGCGCCAGGCACAGGTTACATTTTTTTAAAACATTTTAATAAAATTAACCAATAAATATTCTACACTGTGGAAGCTACAGGGACAAAGAGTAGAAGCCAGAGGGTGGGTCTGTCCCTCTTGGGCCCTCGGTTCGAGAGAGAGAGAGAGAGAGAGAGAGGGAGAGACTGTGTTCTGTGTGCTTCGGGGCTGGGACTGCAGCTCTGGGCTGGGGAGATTCCGGAATGGGAGGCCTGGGCTCTTGCAGTCCATCCCTTTGTTCATATCGGGGAGGGTAGGACGGGGGTTAAAAAAAGGGGAGCTCCTGCAGAAAGCGCCCCAGCACCCTGGGGAGGTGACGTGGGGGGGGAGAGCTAGCCTAGGTGGACGGAAGTGGGGAGACGAGGCCCACCGGGCAGGGGAGCAGGAGCGGGGGGCCGGGTGGGCTCGGCCCGTAGCCACTCACTCTCGGACGTAGACCCTGGTGCACACGACGTCATCCGCTGTCATGGTCTGGAAGGATAGAGCTGTTAGCCCGCAGGTCCCAGGGTCCCGCGCTTGCGGGGACGAGGGCTGAGTGGAGGGACTCTACTCGGTCCCCCTGCCCAGCCCGCTTCTTGGCTCAGGGCCAATAGGCAGGACCTGGTTCCAAAATGCCCAGGCACAACAGGAGGGAGGGTGGCAGCAGAGCCCCAGGGGTCCATGCCATGGCCTCCTCCCCAGCCAGGAAGGCCCCCTGCTGGGGCCTCTCCATGCATGTCCACTGCTCCACACAGAAGGGACACCGTTGTCCTTTGCACGAGGGTGCTGCATGGGACAGGGCCAGCTCGGTCCTGCCCCAGCGGGCCCAGCAGGAGGTCAGGAGACCAACGGTGACCTTCCTCGAGCCCCTGCACCTGGAATGTCCCAGAGACTCCCTGAAGGCAACGGGCCCCCTCTTTGCGGAGGGGAGGCGGGGCTTACCAGGATCAGCTCCCCATCGTTGGTCAGCTCCCTGGCCCAGGAGGTCTTGGGGCCCTCCCCCTTCAAGAGCCTCTGCTCGCAGACCATTTTGTTCTCGCTTTCCCATTTCACCAGGCTCTGCGGGGGTGGGGGGGGGCAGGTGAGTGGGGCCCAGAGCAGGGACGACGCGGGGAGAGGGGGAGGGGAGGTGCCCCCTTTCTGCCGGCCACCGCCACCCGCCACCAAGGGACTTTCTCCATCAGCAATGGAGGGAGGGATCCAGGAAGGGACCGGGCAGTGGCATTCTGAGAGGGAGGGCGAGGGGCGCCACGCCCCGAGGGACTCCTTCGCAGCACCCACCTTACAGGGCCTCCCGTCCACAGTCTGCTCCTCGAACTCGTCCCCGACCTTGAAGTTGATCTCTGTGGTGCGCACGGAGGTGGAGGTTCTGATGTAGAATGTGTCCCCCTCCTGTTTGATCTCCACTGCTGGCTTGGACGCCGCGGCCACCGCGATCTTCCTCAGCATCACATTCACCCCTGCGGGGCGAGGAGAGAGGCTCACCCTCAGGGGTGCCCCAGGCACCTGTGTCACGCCTTCCCCACGGAACGGCTGGAGCAGGGGGTGGCCTGTCCGGGTTTCCAAGTACACTGGAGACTCTTGGGTGGGCGGTGCAGCCCCGGGGTGGGGGTGAGGGAGGAGGGCAGAGAGGCAGTGCCCTGCCCCCAGGACCCTGCTCCTAGCTGCCCCCCAACCCTGCCCCAACAATCGACAAGCCTGGGTCAGTCCCTCAGGCCTCAGCTCTTCACCGTGCGTTCTCAGGCAGGCATTATCCCACACCCAGCGGGTATCCTGTTGTGGGCTTGACTCGGCTCCTGTGCCCCCTGCTTGAGACCCTCGCTGGGGCGGGCTCATCAGAGCCACTGTGTCTTCACTGCCGCCCGGGTGCAAGGCGGACCCTCCTGAGCCTCAGCGCCGTGTCCTGGATGTAGGGCCCACTTCACTCTGTCCCCTCTCCACCCCCGTCCCCAGCACCGGACAGGCCTTCGTTTGCCCAACCTCTGTCCCTGCCCCGAAGGAGAAGGAGCAGGGGTTCTCAGCGGGGAAAGAGGTGGCCAGCAGCCTGGGGGAGCAGAGGCTCTGAGGTCAGATCCATTAGGCCCCCGATTTCCACCGGGCAAACGACTTAACTTCTCTGAGCCTTAGACACCTCAGTCGTGAAGTGGAAACCACGGCTTCGATGGGCAGGGATGCGGGGCCCGAGCTGGGCTGGGCCGGGCGAGCGGGGCTCCCTTCCCCCTTTCCAGGCCCAGGCCCCCTGGCCTTCCTCCAGACCACGATCCCTAGAGAAACAAACGCTCCTTGCCCTGGGTGGTGCCCACAGCAGACGCACCCTGGTCCAGACAAAGGGTGAGGGAGAGGGGAGCCCTGCCCCTCGAGCCCCAGGAGCCTGATCTCTCCTGGGCCCAGGGAGAAATGACTGAGGTTCCAGGTCTGACTTGGCAGAGAAGACACGGCCCACTCCACCTTCTTGGACAGAGACTGCTCCACTGTCTGCCACCACCTGGTAGGTCCGTCCTGCTTTCTAGCACCCATCCCTCCTGTCACAGGAGCCGGACCTGCTGCACGCCACGACCATCGGACCTGATGGACAGTCATCTTCCAAACACCTGAGCGCGCCTCACCAGGAGAGGGACCCTTAACTAGGGCAAGGGGGGGCGGGCGAGAGGGCCTGGCCGCTGGGGCTGGGTGGGGAGGAGACGCCCCTCCCGCCAGCCTCGGCTGCCTGTGGAGCTGGGGCCGGCTCCGCAGACCTTGGCTGACTCAGGACTGTTTGTCTACGGGGTCTGTTTTCAATCTGTCCCCCAGCAGGACCCAGGGAGGGCACGTGGCTCTGAGAGACCCCGCAGGGAGGACAAACAGAGGGAGACGGACGACAGGGCTGGGCTTTGCATCTTATTCTCCAGCTGGGGCTGCGGCTGGGGTGTGCCAGGACACGGCCTCACCCACCGGGGCGAGGGGCCGGAATCCAGAGGTGGGGGAAGGAAAGGCAGCTAGGCTTTCTGAGGGGAAAACCCCTTTCGGCCTTTCATTTCGGGCAAGGGCAGCGCACGCGAGACTGCCAGACGCCCAGTACTAAGGTTAGACTGCAAGACCTAACGGCAAAGCACGCCGGAAACCCCTGCTTTCCCCACGGCTTCCCCCACGGCACCCCAGACCCCGCCCAGGTCCATATTCATGCCTACAGCTCCCTGCCCCACACAGGGTGCCCCCGCCCCGGCCCAACCGGGGTCTCCCTGTTCAGTCCACGGGGCTCCCGGAGGGCTCCCAATCATTTAACTAACCGCATCTCTTCCCACAGCCGCTCTCCAGCCCCTTAGGGGTCACCCCTTCCCCCAGACGCCCCGGAGGGCACACGGCAGCTGGGAAGGGCCTCTGGGTGGGTGGGCTCAGCTGCCCTCGCCTTCGAGCAGCACACCCAGCTGCCCGCGGAGTCTCCAGGGAGGAAAGGAGACGAGAACTCGGATCCTCGGGAAGGGGGCGGGGTGAGGGTTTAGACACGAAGCCATTTGTTGAAATCGAAGAAAGTGATAATTATCCAGAGCGATTTCAGGACTTTGGAGCTGCTGGCTGTAGGAAAATATTTGTCTCACAGATGGGGAGGGGGGAGAGTGGAAAGTGCTTTGGGGGGAAGAAAGGGGGACCACGGGGGCGGGTCACCGGGCGCGTGGAGAGCGGGGACGCGCGGGGACGAACCTGCCCCGAGGACTGAGTTACCGGGAGGGACGGGGGAAGGAGGCCGGCACGTCTCCAGGGAACTCGATGGGGCAGGGACTCGGGCTCCCCGCCCGGACGCAGGGTTTGCCGCTCCTGCACGGCGGAGAGTCCCCCGCCCCGCCCGAGGCACACGGACCTCGGGCTTCTGGTGTCGACTCGATTCACAGGCCGAGGCACCGCACGAGCTGGCGTCGGGGGGCGCCCCGCCGGAGACACGGGACTTAGGTGTCTCGGCCCAGCGCCCCGGAACCCAGGCGTGCGGCCCCTTTCCTTGGGGATGCAGGCGCCCAGCCCCCCACGCCCTGCTCCAGCCCCCCTGCAAGGACTCCGGCGCCCCCTCTCCTCTCCTCCGCGCTCACACATCTCCTCACCCAGCACTTTGAGCAAATCCTCGAAGTTTTCGGACCGGATAATCTTCCAGTTGCCAGAGAAGTTGGGCATGGTGGCGACGCCGGTGGCGGTCCTCTTAGATCCTTCTGCCGGAGCACTGGACGTCGAGTCCTTTAGTCGAGAGGGATGCGGCCGCCGCCTCCGCCCGATCGTGAGGCCCAGGAAACCGGACACGTCCCAGGACAGCCCCGAAGCTGGCGCGGGCTCCCGCGCCGGCAACTTTTATACCCTGCGCGGCCCCGCCCCTGCCCGAGGAGGTGGCCCCGCCCCCGCCCACCTGGGGGGCCCTGAGCCCCGGCCCTGCATTGCCACCGCCACCCCGCTCCCCCGGCCTGTGGATCTAGTCCCACGGGCGGGTCCGGGGTTCGCTGGGGGCCGAGACAGCGGGTGGATGGCGACAGGAGGCGCAGGGAGGGCGAGCGCTGCGACGCCCGGGGCGCGGATGCTCGGGTCTCGGGTCCCGCCGGCCGAGCCCCGGGTCAGGTTCGAGGGTTCCCGCCCCTTCCCAATCGGACTGGGTGCACTCGACCCCGAGGCGCCGGACACCCGGCGGCACCACCGGCAGGTGAGCCCCGGCCCGCGAGCGGAGCTGGGGGAGAGAACGGGCGGCCGAGCCCCGGCTCCGCTGACGCCCGAACTGGACCCAGTGTGACCGCTCCGGACTCAGGGACCGCCAGTGAGCCCCGGGGTCCCGGGTCAGGCACCCGAGTGAGGCAACGGCGCCCCCTGCTGGAACACCTCGAAGGGGCTGGGGGGGCGGCACCCCCCAGCACTGCCCACCGGGTTTCGGGCTCCGGCAGCGCCTGAGGGTGCTGCAAGCTGGCGCGGGGAGACTCGAGGGGCGCGGAGCGGGCATCGAGGGGTTAAGCCGGAGCCCGGGGCGCGGGGCTGGGAGGGCAGAGGTCACAGCCAATCACTTGACACGAGCTCTTTATTAAAGCGCTTTCTCTGCGGCTCGGCTCCGCAGACCCCCGAGGGGGTCGCAGTCGGCGGCGGGGAGGGGAGGCGGGGACAGGCGCGCAGCCCCGGCGCGCCGCGCAGCCACCGAGGTGGGAGGGAGGCTGGTTGCCCGGGTGAGGGGAGGAGCAGGGGCTCAGGTGTCACGATTCTCAGCCGTAAAACGGGCGGAAGGAGCGGCCGCCCCCCACCACCCGGCGAGCGGCTTTGAAGAGGGAGATCAAAGGAGGGGGCAGGGCGCGGCTTCCCGCCGGGAGCTCCGCGGAGCAGGGGGGACCGGGACGCGGAAATGGAGACCCGAGGCCGCCCGCGGCAGAGGCGCGGCGACGGGCGGGAAGCGGCGCCCGCGGCGGGCGCGGGGACGCTGTGGCTCAGGTGCCCTCGGCGAATCCGCGCACGTGGCCCTACGGCCGTCCGTCCCCACCCGTGCCGCCCTCGCCCGACTGCCCTCCCAGCTCCCTCCCAGGGGGGACGAGAAACCCCACGTCTGGTCCTGGCCCTAGGTCCCTGCCCTGGCCGGTCCCTGCCAGCGTGGCCAGGGGCGGAGCAGGAGACGGGCTCTGGGATCTTGGGCTCTGTCCTTAGAGCCGGGCAGCGGTCTAGGGGGCTGCGGGCCGTAGCCGGCGAGAAGTCCGGAGGCCTGGAGCTCTGAGGAGGGGACGCTGAGTAACACGTGCAGCCCTGGAGCAGCGAGGGGGACCTGGGCCAGGAGGGGCGCAGGGCCGGCTGCGAAGGGCCCACCCCACAGTAACCGATAACCTCAGATTGAAGAAGGGAGCGGGATGCCTCAGCCCGGTTTTAGGGGTCCAGGTTTTGCGTGGGAGAGCTTATTTGGGGATGGGAGGCCTCTGAGGAAGGACAGACAAGCAGAGGGGAGGAAGGCCTGGGGTGCCGGCTCAGCCCATGCTCGGGCTGTGCTGTAGGTAGAGGGAGGGGTGTTAGGGTCTGAGTGAAATCGGGCTCCCAGCCAAGGGATGCGGAGAGGCTGGGGAGGCAACATGGCGGAAACCAGGCTCCCGCTGCCCCTCCTGTGCCCTCACTGTCCCCACCTCTCCACCCAGGTCCCTGCGTCCACCTCCACTCCAGCCCTCTTCAGCCCCAGCCAGAGCGCAGTGGCCGCCTCAGGAGGCGTCCTGCTGCGCAGAGACAAGCCGGCAGGCCCCCTCCCACGAGCCTGTGACTAAGGGTGTTAAAACCTCACCCAGAACATGGTCACCGGCATGAGGGAGGCTAGACCTACAGGAGGAGGGTGGAGGGACATGCTCTGGCTGAGGATACCGGGGAGGCTGGCCTCCAGCACCCTGGGGTGGGGGCACGGAAGTCTGGGCCCTCTCCCCTCCCTTCACTGCCTCGCTCCCCCCATCGGCCAGACCGTCAGAATTTCCAAAAAGACAGAAGAAAGACAAAGGGAAGTTGGGCTGGGAGGGAATTTTTTCCAGATGTGAGTGTTTGTGGTTTGGCAGCTCTGGGCCTGAGCTCCGGCCCCTGCACCCCAACCCTGGCTGAGGGAGGTAAGCGGGGTCTCAGCCTCCCTCAGCCCTGTTAACACCACCGGAGGTGGGTGGCGGAGCTTGGGGAAGATGCGTGGGAAGGAGGTTGGGGGATGGGGCTGGGGAGGATGGGCAAGCCAGGGGCTAGGGCCCTGGAACGGGCCACGAGGAGGGGCTCAGCCCGCCTCCGTCACTCAGTCAGAAACAACTGGCTTTAATTTCCCGCCGGGATCAGTAAGGAGAAGGAATTTCCCAGTGTCGCTGGCCTTTCAATTATGACTAAATCTGCTGCAGCTCTGCTCGGGGCAACCTGTCCTCTCTTCCTAGGAGCCTTGGGCACACCCCTCTTGGGGCTCCCCCAGGAATTTGGAGACTGCGGTGGGGGGAGGGTGCAAAGTTGATGAGAAAAGCTGAGGGAGCAGCGGCAGGATGGGGGTGGGGTGAGGAGGAAGCAGGCTGGGGAGGGTCAGGAAAGGAATATTCTGGGGCTTTGTCCCCATGGTGCTGAGGCTAAGTGGGGGCCGCTGGTTTTGCAGCAGCAGGAGGCGACGAGCAGGCTTCTGGGTGGCGCAGGGGTGAGAGCGGCTGACCAGTGTGCACGACTGCAGCCAGGGAAGAGATGCCCCCACCCCATCCGTCACGCCCTTGGGACTGGGTGCGGGAGGAGGGTGGGAGGAGAGGGAGAGTCCTGAACCCCTCGCCCTCGCCCCCAGCCAGGACCAAGGAGAAGCTCCGGCCAAGTCCAGCACTCGGAAGGGCCTCGCCCCGAGCTGAGCAGTGTTGTTGCGTCTGCCGGGTCAGAGCGTGTTGGCTGCGAGTCATGCAGAAACGAAGCCCAGGTGGGCTGGGCCTGGGTCTCTGCCACTCCATGCACGGGCAGCGGCAAAGGCAGGACCTGGACAAGGAGAGCTGAAGAAAGGAGCGGGGAGTGGCCGGGCCAGGACGGCCGTGTCTCCCACGGTCTCTGGGCTCTCGGTGTCCCACTCAGCAGGGTGTGGGCTTGAGCATCCTGCCCCCTCTGGTCTGAGCCTCCAAACGCAGAGGAATGTTCCATTCCTGTCTCCCTGGGTTCAGGGACCCAGCCCTTTTCAGATCTGGTAAGGCCTGGCTCCGATTCTCCCCAAATAAATTTGTCATTGCAGCAGGCCGGATGGGAGTTCGGGAGAAAGAGCTCCCGGCGAGCTGAGATGCATGCTGGGAGACGGGCCGCGAAGGAGGTGAAGGAGGCGGCTCACTTCCCAGAAACCTCTGGGCGCAGAGCAGAGACCCTGAGAGCTCGGGAGGTATGGGCAGAGTCCCGGTGATGGGGGAGGGGGAGGAGGGGCAGCGGGACTCAGATTTGCCTGACAGTGACCCCCAGGGCCATCTCCGGCCGTGGCCAAGGGAGGCAGGTGTGGCCCAGGAGGCTCAGAGCCACAGGCTGGCTGCGGTCGGAGGCACTGCAGTTGGACCAGCACCTGGGCAGCCGGGGCTCTGCTCGGCTCCGCCACCTGGTTCCCAGCTCCAGCTGCCGGCTCTCTCTGGGCTGGGCCAGGCGCTGAGCAGGTAGGCGGAGCCCAGGGAGGGGCAAGGGCGGAGGAGGCGGAGGTGGAGATACACGGGCTGAGGACTTGTTTGGACAGGACATTGTCCCCTGAGAGGCCCCTGGCTCTGCCAGCCTTTTCAGGGGGCAGCACACGGGTGGAAAAGCCGGGAGACCCCGCACTGACCTTGTCCTCTGACCTGGGGTCTTTGCTTGTCTGTCTCTCCGCCCTGGCCCCACCACCCAGAGTGGCACTTCTTGCCAGCCGGGCAGGGGCGGGTCATCTGTCCCCACTCAGGCCCCTGCTCGGTTTTCACTCCCAGCGCAGTGAAAGGCACCAGGGTGACCCTCTGTGAGCCTCCTACTTCTCAGAGAACCTGCAGGGCGAGCTGCAGGTCCAGTGTGGCTGGTCCAGTGCGCCAACATCTGAAGGTGGACAGCAGGCCTGGCCAGCCGTGGCCCCTCCTGAAGGACCCTCCACCCCCACCCCAGCACAGCACTGCTCGGGGAGAAGCCAGCACCTGACCTGCTGTTAACAACGCCTCCTGGCTTTTAAGATCCAGTGACTAGGGCCAGGCCCCTCGCCATTCCCACCCCCTGCCTGCACTGGCCCCTTAACCCCTGGCATTCCAGGGCAGGAGGGACAAGGCTAGAGCTGTGACGAGTCTGGCAGGCTGGACACCTGGGCTCGCATGGCACCCGGGGACAGCGGTGACCAGCCTGCAGTCTAGCCTCGCGCCCTGCCCCTGTGGCCCAGGTGCTGGGCCTGGGAGCCCACGCCCCCTTCCAGTAGGCACCTCTCCCATTCTGAGCCAGGGGTCCAGGGAAGCCCCTGGCCATCGAGATGAGCTGGCGTCCTGGGGGACAAGAATCGGCAGGGCTGCAGACGGTGCGTCCTGTGTCCCTCCTCCGGCCTGACGGCAGAGTGGGCCCTGGGCCAGACGACCAGACGCCGATCTCAGAGGGAGGAGGCAGGAGGGAAGGGAGAAGGGTGGGACGGAGGGGGTCCCGGATGGGGCGGGAAGAGGGTCTTGTCGGGGCAGGGCTCACAGTCTGAGAGGCAGTGGGTCAGCCCCGGGAAGGGGGTCAGCCAGCCCGGGGAGGACGCCTTCGGGCTGCTTAGGGCTTCCGGTCCCCTCCTCTCTCTGGCCTCTGAACACAGCAGCCGCCTCCAGACACAGCAGTTGGCTCCAGCCTGGCTCCTGGGGGCCTAGAGAAACC